AGCATTGTATTCATCATGTCTTTCAATGTACGATTCTTTCGTTCGGCAACACCGTTCGATTGAGGTGCGTAAGGTGCCGTACGCTCGTGTATTATACCTACACTTGCATAGAAGTCACCAATTGGTGCTTCGTACTCACCACCTCTATCGCTTCTAACCTTCTTAATTCTCCAATTAAATTGGTTTTCCACTTCATTCTTATAAAGAACGAATTTATCAACTGCTTCATCTTTGCTCTTAAGCAAATACACATGGCAGTATCGTGTGTTATCGTCGATAAATGTGATAAAAATACTTATTACCACCTCTCATTTGTATCGATCTAAAATCGCACAAATCACTATGGATTAATTCAAGTGGTTCAGTTTCCCTTTCAACCGATTTGAAAGGTACTTTCGTTAGTTTTGCCTCAACACAAATTTCACACTTGTTATTTGTGTCAATTTGAAAGTTAGGAATATGGTTCATGCTAATTAATCTACATATAGAATTAAAATTAACATGACCTAGTCTACCATGCCACAAATTGGAAGACTCAAGCAAGTAAACATAATTAACTTTTATTGATAACAGGAATTACACTGAGCTTAAACAGTCCATCAGTTACATATCCTTTACCAACAAACATCCCTAACTTGGACAAAACTACTTTGTCTGACTCGAACACCAGGCGAAAGCCATGCTTGTTCAACAGCGAGCCAGACACAAGATTCTTCCTCAGCTCAGGAACATACAACACGTTGTTCAACGTCAGTTCCTTCCCGGAAGTCATCTTCAGAACCACCTTGCCCATGCCTTCCACAACAGACTGAGCAGAGTTTCCCATCCACACCTTTTCACCCTCAATGGTCTCAAAGGTGTTGAATATCTCTCGGTTGCAACACAAATGCCTGGTTGCACCGGTATCGATGAACCACTCACGTGGGTTAGAGCCCATGAGGTTCACCTCGGTCACCATAGCCGAAAGGCTAATCTCGACCTCCTTCTGACTGCTTTCTCCAACAACGTTGGCTTCAGAACTCTTGTTCTTCTTCCTTGGAGCTTTGCATTTAGATGCTTTGTGACCAGGCTTGCCACAATTGTAGCATTCACCAAGAAACTTGTTTTTGGTAACACCACATTTCGGACCTAGCTTTCGCCTGTCCTTCTTTTTCCTCTTGGAGCTTTTACCATGCTCCACAAAGTTAGCCTTAGCGCCAACAATGATAAGAACCTTCCTATCATTCGTCTTGTTCCCCTCCTCAATCCTGAGTCGCTGGATCAGGTCCTCCAGATTCATCTCCTTTCGCTTGTGCTTAAGGTAGTTCTTGAAGTCCATCCAACCTGGAGGCAACAAGTGGATCACAGACCCCACTTGGAAGGCTTCACTTAGCACCATGCCCTCATTATGGATCTCGTCGAAGATTAGTTGCAAAATCTTCTACCTGATTTAGCACGGTCTTGGAATTGACCATTTTGAAGTCGAGGAATCGGCCAACCACAAATATCTTTGCGTCGGCATCCTCACTTCTATACTTATGATCCAAGGCTTCCCACATTTTGATGTGCTTATCTTTCAATATACATCATATAGCGTGTCACACAATCCGTTCAGGATGTAGTTTCGGCAAAGGAAGTCCGAATCCTTCCAATAGCCAATTATCATCACAGATTGTGCATCTTGTTCTTTCAACTTAGGAACACTCTCGGACAAGAACCTTGACAAGCCGAGAGTTGCTAGGTAGAACAACATCTTCTGTTGCCACCACTTGAAGTTCGATCCGACACCGCCGATCCGCTCGGTATCGAAGGTACCCGAGTCATGGAAATATATCCCTCAGTGCTCCCACCATCTTGTGAACCAACGTTCACTGGTGGTGCCTGGGAATTCGCAACATTGTTGCCGTTCCCTCCATTGTTGTCCGCAACAACATTTTCCTCCCCATCGATTGACAGTACGTGATGCTCCATTTTCTTCAAGGAAATTTGGAGAATACCACCAACAGGAAAACAAAGATATAAGGTTTTAAGACTATTGGGAATTCCGTTGGTAGAAAAACAAATAATAATCCAATAAAAATAAGATTATTATTTTTCTGAAAAAAAAAGGGAAAGAAAGATGAAGAGATTGGCTAGTGTTTGGCTCAGGGTTTTTAGCAAGAGTCAAACGATCACTCTTTCCTTAAAACCTTATTTGCCACCTCCCAGAAGTGCTAGGAGCGTTGTGGTCTAGGTTTCCCAGGATAAAACTTGCTACGATTCAATGTTTGAGCACCCAAACAAGGAATCTGGTGAACAAAGCAAGATTATGAACACAGTAGGCTTAAGAAAGGAGTAGAAATAGAGAGTTTTGAGGCAAAAATGATACTTTCTTGTTTTTTTTTGTAAATCTCTACTACCCAACTCCTTCTTATATAGGGGTGGGAGATTAAATAGCTTTTAATGGGCACTTAAGGGCACCCCTCCACCTTCCTGTAACAGCAACCATTAACTTGGGTTTCGATTCAAAAATTAAAATTGGAATTAATTCCGTAACACCCAACGGTCAGGTTTGTGCAGGCCGAAACTGGGAGTTTCGGCCAAACTATATATGTCCATTTTCCGGACCACATTCGTGCCCGCAAGTGTCGGCGCACATGAGCTTGAATCAAGCTTTTTCGATCTCGTTTCTAGTTGGAATTTGGTTTGCACCCACCCCCCTCCCGCGCGCGCGCGAGAGAGCCTCTATGCTATACAATTCTACCAGCTCCAAAAGAGCTCTTGTATAAAAGGGAGGGAAATCCTCTTTCCAAACCAATGTGGGATAATAGCTAACTTTTTCCCTTCATTTTTCAACTCAATGGGTCTACTTTGAGAATCAATATCTCATTCACCCATTATCCTTTTTGAGCGTACAATATATCAATCTCTTTGCCTCACTGCGAAGAATCCGAATCCACTTTGACCCGACCCAAATCGGAAGCGGACCCCACTGATAATTGTACCACAAAATAGCCACTTAACATGCCATTTTAAGCTATTTTTTCTCATAAATAATAATAAAAACAAATATATTATTAACCATTAAAATAAAAAACTAAAAATAAAAAATAAAAAAATAAACGTACCTGTAGCAGATCGGAGCCGGCGGCAGTGGCGTCATAGGGCAGCCGCCGTCGTCGCAGGGCAAGGGAAAGGTGCAGATCGACGGCGTGGTGGCGACGTAGCGGTGATGGGAGTTGTGCGACGGTGGTTTGCAGCAGTGGTGGTGTCGCGACGTCTGTGGTCTGCGACGTGGTGGCCGGTGGTGGTGTGCGACGTCGCGGTGGTGTGAACGGAGGTAGCCGGTGGTCGTACGTGAATATGAAGCGGTGGTGTGAACGGCAGATCTGAAGCTGAAGCAATGAAGTGTCGTATGAGAGACTCTCTGACCCACTAGATCTGGATTTACATAGGCAACAATTTCTTGAAGAAACGGTTGCTTATTACAAAGCAATTTCTTTTTTAAGGCAACCGTTTCTCTTAGAAATGGTTGCCTATTAGAAAGTAATTTTTTTAAATACATAAAAAATACAATGGGCATCCATTACAGCTAACAACGGTGGCGGATTATTGATCACTTATTTACAAAATTGTCGTCGTGAATTTTTTGCTAAGATTAGACAACCATTCTTTCAACAACGGTGGCTTAATGTCAGTCTTCTATGTTCAATTTGATACCACTTTGTTGGAAAAAATCCCAATTCCTGTGACAATGAAAAATCACAGAACTGAAGCACAAAAACTAAATGATACACAATAGCCAAAAATAAATAACAATACAATGGACACAAAATTTACGTAGAAAAATCCCAAAACCACGGGACCACCACCAACAAAGTTTCCACTATAACAAATCTCGGGTACACAGGTTCACGCTACCACATGAGCCATACATCCATAAATCATCAAATACATCAATTTTAGACAAAATACATCTTTTAACATCCACAGGCTAAAGATAAATAAGATCTCGTACTAAAAAATATCCCACTACCACGATCAAGATAAAATGAATATAAGTGGTATGAGACTGTCTCACGGGTCTTAATATGTGAGGCGGGTAGGATCTTTGATTGATGAGATCAAATATCCAACCCATTAATCAACGATCTGACCCGTCTCACATATCGAGACGCGTGAGACGATTTCACACAAGTGTTATCCCCATGTTAATTAGTTCCCCCAACCCATGTGAAGTGCAAACAAATGCATGCCTAATTGCACATCATCCAAACACACACAAATTTAATTTGGGACTTTGGTGTTGCCCAATAAATGTTTCAAATCCCTCTCAGCTTTAGAACCCTCTCAGGCTCTCAGCTTCAGATCCACCATACTGAAGCAGCTTAGCTTGTAGGAATCTGCATCTGCAGGTAATTCAAATTGTGATCTTAAAATTAGTGACCAATTAAATTAAAGGGTCTGATACAATAAATAATGCTTCTGGATAATGACCAATTTGTGCTCTGCAATGTTAATTACATCCCTTTGCAGTTCTCTTTTATTTACGTTGCAGTTTATGCGAAGCACACACGAATAGAGAGGGCACAACTCTGGGAGACGCTAATGGTCTTGGCAAAGGATTCGAAGATGGTCCTATTAGGAGGGGACTTTAACGTGATCTCGAGCATCTCGGAGTACCCGGGCAACTCATTTCCAGACACAAATATAATTAATGACTTTTCAATTTTCATCAGCAACAGCAGTTTGATTGATCTACCGGTCATGGGGAATCAGTACACTTGGCACGGTGTTCGAACTAGGGAGCCGTCTGGAAGAGGCTTGACCGATTCCTAATGAACTCATAGATGCGGGATTTCTTTCCCGAAGTTCGAATCAATGTTTTGGCGCGAACCTCCTCTGACCATGCACCAATTTTGTTCAACGGCACCAACGATTCTTGCCCAAAGCAATTCCGTTTCCAAAACATGTAGTTGTGACACTCTAACTTTGTGTCATTGGTCAAGCAAAACTGGAACTTGCCGGCTGACGGAGGAGGCATGCGCTCTTTGGCCTTTAAATTGAAGCAGCTAAAACTGTTCCTTCGCACCTGGAACAAGGAGGTCTTCGGCAATGTGTTTGATCAGGTTAGAAGTCTAGAATCGAGGGTGGTGTCTGACGTGGAATGCAAGTATGCTGATTCTCGAATGGCTGAGAACAGGACTGTGCTTCATTCATTGCAGGTAGAATTGCTCTTAGCCTTGAAACAGGAAGAATGCTTCTGGAGGCAAAAAGCTCGGGTTAAGTGGTTAAAAGAGGGAGACGCTAATACACGCTTCTTCCACTCAGTGGTTAAAGACAGGGCATCGCCAACAATGAATCAGTGTTATAAAAAACGATGAGGGCGCTCTTCTCACCTCCCAAGCGGACATTTAGGGAGAAGCAATCAGATTTTTTTCTTAAATCTTTTTTCTGCAAAAGATAACCAAGACACGGACGCCCTCCTCCAGTCCCTTCCGCTGAACTTAGTTGCTACAGAGGAGGCGGCCTTGGTCGAGCCGGTTTCACAGGAGGGAGTTAAGTCGACAGTTTGGAAGTTGGACCCAGATAGTGTAGCCGGGCTTGATGGCTTCTCGGGATCGTTCTTCCGGCATTGCTGGGATCTGGCTAAAGACGATGTTAATAATGCGGTGCAAGACTTCTTTGCAAGGGTCCCTGTTCCTAGAGCCTTGGCAAGTGCGCAGAGAGTATTGATACCAAAAAAGAGCAACCCGGACTCCCTTGCAGATTACAGACCGATATGCTAATGCACTTTCATCAGCAAGGTTTTCACGCATATTATTGCATCGCGATTGAGTCCAATATTGCCAAAATTAATATCCAGGGAGTAAGCTGGTTTTGTAAAGGGCCGAAGTATACAATACAACACCTTTCTGGCATTTAATCTGCTGCAGTATATTGATAAGAAATGCCGAGGGTTGAATATAGTGGTCAAGTTAGATATGATTAAGGTCTCGTGGCCATATCTTCGGGCGGTGCTACTCAAGCTAGGATTCATGGTTTCTTTTACTAACATTATTATGAATAATTTGGGTGCCAGTAGACTGTTCGTTTTGGTGAATGGAGTTAGTTGTGGGTTCTTCCAGCCAACTAGGGGCATTAAGCAGAGAGACTCGCTCTCCCCGCTTCTATTTATCCTTGCCTCAGAAGCCCTTTCCCGTTCCATTATTCTTAAAATGGGAGTGGGTCTTCTATCTCCGTATTCATCATCTCCAGGCTGTCCTTTGATCACACATTTAGCCTTTGCGGATGACATTATCATATTTGTGAACGGGGCTTCAAGGTCTCTAAGGGCCCTAGCTACGGTGTTGACGTAGTACAAGGAGGGATCGGGACAGAAAATCAACTTCAACAAGAGCTTTTTTGTTACGTCCATGTTATGCACAAACAGAACAGCAGCTAACATGTCACGCATCCTGGGGATGCAGCGTTCAAGCCTGCCCTTTCGCTATCAAGGCGTGAATCTATTCAAGGGCCGAAATCGGCCATTTTATTATCAGCATTTGATTGAAAAAATTAATGGAAAGCTGCTCGGCTGGCAGTGCAAGTTACTCTCGTCGGGAGGTCGTCTAACCCTTGTCAAGCATGTGCTTTCTGCTATTCCTCTCTACACTACTGTATCGGTCCTCTTGCCAAGAGGGACTGTGAAGACCATTGAATCTCGTTTTGCCAATTTTTTGTGGGGGGGTGGAAAACGGCAAACCGAGGAGGCATTGGGCATCTTGGGATAAATTGTGCTTTCCCACTGAAGAGGGAGGTCTGGGCATTAGATCATTTGATTCGATTCAGCAAGCCTTCTTGGCCAAGCTTAACTTCATCTTCATTCAAGGGGGTACGCTTTGGAGCGATTTTTTGCATGCACGATACTCCGGTGATCAGAACCGCAGGACCGCTTCACTAACATGGAGGCGAATGCAGCCCCTACGGGATTTCGTTGAGGATTGCACCGCACTAGACTCGGATGGAAACTGTATTTGGTCGTTGTCCCCGTACGGTGACTTCAACTTCTCCACAGCCTATGACGCTACGACCAAAATCAAGCCAGAGCATGTCTTCGTCTCGCATTTGGGGAAGGGGATGTTAGGATGTATACGGTTCACAACACCAAAATACAACAACTTGGACCGGAAATAATGAGAATATTTCTAGTGTAAGATTTAAAATAAATCATACCCAAAATAAAGGCAATTTGAAGAAGGATTTTCTGTATTGGCAAAAGGATATTACAATAGGAATTGCAAATATAACTTTCTATTCTACTCTCTATATTTTTGCTATGCTAATGGGAGGATTCTTGATGGAATGGGATGAGATTGGATGAAGAGGAGTTTCCTATTTATAGCAAACCCACTCATGCAAATTCCTCTTGCTCTTTCTCCTGAAATGAGCATCTTGCTCTTTCTCCGGAAATGAGCATCTTGCTCGTTCTCCTGAAATGAGCATCTTGCTCTTTCTCCGAAATGAGCATCTTGCTCTTTCTCCTGAAATGAGCATCTTGCTCTTTCAGAGATGAGCACTTTGCTCTTTTAGAGATGAGCACCTTGCTCTTAGACCAACTGTTTGCTCTTGCTCCTAACCTCATCAGAAAAAGGTTCTGCCCATTTCCACATTTGACTTCAGTATTTACAAATCACCCACTTAAAGTCGCAATGTGGACCTTCATCCTTTCCGCCAATTTCGTGCTGCTTGCGTACTTGTTAGGCCAATTGAGGATCTACACCATACGAATTTATCGTTGGTAATCGGCTTTGTTAACATATCTGTCAGGTTATCTTTAGTATAGATTTTCTGTATATCCACACTCCCACCTTCCACCTTTGCACGAACAAAGTGAAATTGAATCCGTATGTGTTTCGTCTTAGAATGAAATGCTGGATTCTTTGTCAAGTACAAAGCGCTCTGACTATCACAAAATAGAGTCATTTTCTCTACTTTGTGCCCGAGCTCCTCCAATAGCATTTGCAACCATATAGCCTCTTTACTAGCTTGACTAGTAGCTATATATTCTACTTCCGTCGTTGAAGTTGCCACAATCGACTGCAACTTCGAGACCCAGCTTACTGCTCCGCCAGCAAGAGTAAACACATAACCCGTGGTGGATTTACTACAATCAAGATTTCCTGCATAATCTGAATCAACATAGCCTCTAATAATGAAGTCTGACCCTCCATAACACAATGCAATATGTAAGGTACCCTTGATATATCTAAGGATCCTCTTCACAGCACTCCAATGCTCTCTACCAGGATTTGCCATGTATCGACTAACCGCTCCCACTGCTTGTGCAATGTCTGGTCTAGTGCAGATCATAGCAAACATTAAACTGCCCACTGCTGATGCATATGGTACTCGAGACATCTCCATCCTCTCTACTTCGTTGCTAGGACTCATACTTGAGGATAACTTGAAATTAATATAAAGAGGGGTAGAAATTGGCTTACAATCTTGCATGTTGAAGCGACACAAGATTTTCTTCAAAAAATTCTGCTGAGAGAGCCAAATCTTCCTATTATTTCTGTCTCAGTGGATTTGCATCCCTAGAATCTTGTTTGCTGGTCCCAAGTCCTTCATTTCAAATTCCCTAGCCAGTTGAGCCTTCATCTCTGTGATACAATCATTGTTGGGGCCTACTACCAACATGTCGTCAACATACAACAACAAGATGATAAATTGATTATCATCAAATCTCTTGCAATATGCGCAAGGATCGGAATTAAACCAGTTGTATCCAAGGCTCAGATTGAATGAATCAAATATCTTATACCAACATCTCGGCGCCTGTTTGAGACCGTATAGAGATTTTGTCAACCTGCAAACCAAGTTCCCTTCTTCTTCAAAACCTTCTGGTTGGAGCATGTAAATCTCTTCTTCAAGTTCCCCATGTAGAATTGCAGTTTTCACATCCAACTGCTCAAGATACAAGTCAAATACAGGACACATCGCTAAGACAACTCGAATCGTTGTAAGTCGTACAACAGGAGAAAATATCTCGTTGAAATCAACTCCTTCCTTTTGAGCAAATCCTTTCACAACTAATCGAGCACAATACCGTTCCACTTGATTGTTGCTATCTCGTTTGGTCTTATAGACCTATTTGTTTCTAATAGTCTTCCTTCCTCGTGGTAACGGGACAAGTTCACATGTTTTATTCTTATGGAGAGCTTCAATTTCTTCTTGCACTGCTGTCATCCACAGAGATGCATATGGACCTTTCATAGCCTCTTGGTAAGTTAATGGATCACCATCTTCTGTTAGTAGACAGTATGCAACATTTCCCTCCGTAGAATAATCTGAGTGCCAAGCTGGTTGTTTCCTTTCCCGAGTTGATCGTCGAACTTCAGAAGTTGAAGACTCAGCTTGATCTTGTTTATCATGCTCTATTGCTGTTTTAGGGGAAACTGTAATTTCTTCTTCCTTCCTTCCCTCAACTTGTACTGTAGTTGTCACTGGTTTCTCCTTCCTAGTGCTTTCCCTTTCTTGTACCTTGCTTTCTACAAATACAACATCCCTGCTTATGATAACCTTGTGGGCAGTGGGATCCCACAGGCGATACCCCTTCACTCCATCAGCATACCCAAAGAAAACACATTTTCTTGATTTTGGATCAAGTTTTGATGTTTCTTGAGTGTTGTAAATCAATGCCGGACTCCCAAATGCATGTAAGTAAGAATAACTGAATGGCTTACCAGTCCACATTTCCAATTGCGGTTGATGGAGATCGATTGATCACATAACAGCCGGTTTTGACTGCTTCAGCCCAAAATGAATTTGCCAAACTTGCAGTCCTCAACATTGCTCTTGTTGTTTCCAACAAGGTTCTGTTCATCCCTGTTGTGGAGTATACACCACCGTGAACTGCCGTTTAATACCTTCTTGTAGACAGAATTTATCAAACTCATCACTAGTATATTCTCCTCCATTATCCGACCTCAAACACTTGATCAATTTCTCGGATTCAAGTTCCACACACGCTGTGAAGAATTTGAAAACTTCAAATACATCCGTCTTCCGCTTGATTGGATACACCCAACATCTCCTCGAGTAATCATCTATGAAGGATACAAAATACTTTGTATCTCTCAGGGATATTACTGGTGCTTGCCAAACATCGGAGTGGATTAGCTCCAAGATAGCCATGCTCCTTGATTTAGAGCTCTCGAACTTCAATCTATGCTGCTTACTTGTAACACAATGCTCACAAAAAGGTAATTGTTAGTGTTTTATTTGCTCGAAAAACCACAACTTATAACTGGAAATATTATTATGGCATACTAAGATAGGATAAGCTTAGTGTCAGTTTTGTTCTACAGAGGACTGATCAATCAGACACAACAACAGAGGGACTGACACTAAAGATCTGTTTTAGGAAGCTGATTTCTTAAAGGCTGTACGCGGTTTAAAGAAGACAAGTTTGGAAAGAAGATCAGCGTATATTTCTTGGAAAGGTATGGACCGAATCTTTAAGATTACATTCTTCAAATATTGTCCTACCATCTACAATCAAAGATATCTATGGAGAGTGTTCTGATAATGGAACTATAAGTACTCTTGTTCGACGGGAATTAGGGTTACGCTTTTGAGAGAGAAGAAACACTCCGTATGAATTTATGAGATCCCATCTTTGATTATAATGCTCCTTCTCAACACAACATGTGTATGGTGATTATGATGAAGAACATGCGAAGGATTCTTGTTTCTTAAACGAAAGGACACTACGATCATACAGTTATGGGAACAACTGAACAGAGCGTCACTGAAGTGGACTACATCAGAGTTGGCTCTCCAAGAGAAGGGATTTCTTTGGACTTCTGGATGCATGGCTCTCCATCTTCAACAATTCACTAAACCTGTGTAGACTGGGTACGTACCTTGTGTGGGGCACTTGGGTGAGATTGTTATTTCTCTACCTTTGTACATTGGATTATGATTTAGTGGATTGGACGCCTAAGTGATCGTCCCCCAGACGTATATACACACTGTATCGAACTGGGTAAACATCTTGTGTGTTGTTGTGTGTCGGTATCTCTTTCTTTTATCTTTTCTATGATCTATCTTACTGACTGGCTTTGTCGATGAATTAGTCAGTCTATTTCATCAGTCAATTAATCCAGTAAACTTGATTAAGAATGAGGAAATGCAAAATTACATGTGGTATCAGAGCTTTTAAGTCTACATAGTGACTTGATCCTTACGAGAATTTTGTTTGCATTAGTCTCTTTCTTTTGGAAGTGTCTCTGTGTGTTCCAGGCTGCTTGTCTTTGTTCAGGATGGATGCAAGTATGAAACCTCCAGAACTAGATGGTCACAACTACTCCTTCTGGAAGGCTCGTATGGAAATCTATCTTCAAGCACAAGGTACCAGGGTTTATCGCACTGTTTTATCTGGATGGAGTAAACCAACGATTCAGAATACTGATGGAACTACTGGAGAAAAGCCCATTGAGACTTGGACAGATGATGAAATGAATGCCTCTGATCTGAACAACAAAGCGTTGAACTCTATTGTAGGATCCTTGCATGAATCTGTATTTACCCTTGTCACGGGGGTAAAAGAAGCAAAGCGAGTATGGGAAATTCTTGAAACTAGATTTGAGGGCACTAGTGATGTCAAGCAGTCAAAGCTACAGATGGTGCTGTCAGAATTCGAAGCTTTCAGAATGAACGAAGAGGAAACTATCTCAGTCTTTCACAGTCGGGTTCAGAATATAATGAATAGAGCCTCTATTCTTGG